CCATCTGGGGCGGAGAGAAATTTGGCTCTGCTCAAGAAACATAAGAAATTACAAAGAAACACAAGAGATGAATAATATCTGAGTCAGCAGAAAACACTTAATGACTTTGCAAGGGTCTGCCTCAATGTGTAAGAAACATCTCCCAAAAAAAGGGCTACAATTGCTGCAGTATTTGCAAAACACTCCCAGGCATAAATGCAAAAAGAGAATGAAGGAACGTGCCATCCATTCAAAACATGAGGAGGAAGGGGAAAACACCTTTAACAAGGGAATGATCTTGCTTTCTCAAACCTGTTCTAAGTGAGCAGCCACTTCTCATCCTCTTTGTGGTCATGAAAAATGTGTAGTTACCTGGGCAGCACTGACTTAAAGCCCAATTGTTTCATAGCAAATGAGGCATGAAACTTATTATCAAAAAACATGATGTCTGAAGTACATGCTGTCATTTCATTTTCCCAGAAGAGAGCTTCTGAACGCCTGAACTGAATGCAAGGCATGGTGGGAGGCTGGAAATGCAAAAATTAGTGGTTCTTGAGCAAAAGCACATTTCTGAAGCCAACATCTACAGCACTGTATCTTTAGGAGTTCAGAGAGTAAAATGCCTCTATGATCAACTGACACATTACCTTGTTTTTTAGAAGAGGGCTGCAAAAGGCAGGAAAATCTCCACATATTTGACCTTTGACCTTGGCAGAATGGTCCTTAAAACTGGCCTTGTTGCATGCTGGTGGAGAAGTAGTTATTTGATGCAAAAAAATACCTATAAAAAGTTCGTGAAAAGAAAAACCCACAAGCTAAGTTCTTTAGTAGGTCTTGTGCAACATGAGGGTGATGATGCCTGAACAAGTGTGAAAGTTAAGGAGAAATGTCCCAGGGGCACTGGATGCTAACTAAAAGCTGGCTAATACCTTGAATGATTTAACCACTAGACAGGCAGTCCCTTTACTGGACTTTCCCCAGTTTTAGAAAGGTACAGCATTGAGTAGGAAGTAGTTTTCTGTGGAGAGAGTATCTGAGTAAGGAACTTGCAGTTTACTGTAGAGATTTCAGAGTTAAACTATTTCCAAACAGTCAAGCACTTCCAGGTAATCCAGAAATCCTATGATCTCACTGCATCTCATGGCAATAATCTCAGTGTCACCTGTTGGCTTTTAAGGCAGCCTTAAGAAGGACAAATATCTATCCTGGTAACTAAGTGGAGCTTGGAAAAGTCCTGAATGTGCTTAGTTTCTATCCATCCCATGAGCTTCAGTGACACACAGGGAGAAAGCAGCTCTTCCCTGCCCCTGTACCTGCAGCCATCACACATTAAGGCTCTGATGTATCTTATGTATGTATCTACCTTATACTTCACCTTTTGGCATGATCACGAGACAGCTGCCACATAGACAGAACCAGTGACAAAGAGCTTTTACATGAACTTCATGCTGCCCAAAGATTTCCAGGCTCTGGGGGAAATACTCTGCTGTTCTGTTAGTGAGCCCCAGAGATTAAAATTCAACTCCCCTTTTACTTATTTTCAAATGCAGCTACTTTGTTACTGTGCCTCTCCTGGGAACTTATTCCACAGTTAATGCTTGTGAATGACTTCATTTACTGTTCATGCTAGACTGAGGTCAAGAAGAAATTCTGGCTTATGTTCCAAAATGTATTTAGTTAGGATCACTAATGGTTTAGTACACCTTTCTTTGGCTCACTGGAAACTGTACACTGAACACTATGAGATCAGGTGGGAGAAATCCCCCATTCACACCAGGATGCCTCCACTACACCAGTCACTTCCCCAGCAGTTATTACCTTGCTTCAATTTACTGCTCAGTGACTCTGACAGAGCAAATAGTTTATTCTAAATATTCTAAAGTAGTAGCCAGGTCCAGCCTGCTCCTTCATCCTCCTCATAGCAGTAGTGGAAAAGTAAGGCTGCAAGACGCCCTGAGCAGAGAGAGCTCTAAGAGGAAAATTAAAAGACACATCCACTTATAAAAGCTGACAGGTGAAAATGTTCACTGTTGTAGGGAGATGCTGAGATGCCAAGTCAATGCCATGCACACCAGACACCACGACAAAAAAGACACAAATGCAGAACATGAACTGTAGGGTTTTTATAACAGAAGAGACCTCTGACTTGTGATCTGTGTACCTTTGCCATGAGGCATTTCATCTGGAAGTCAGGTCTGTCCAGTACTGGATTAACTTCTCTTTCCATGGCTTGACCTGTCACCCAAAGTACTATAGAGATAGGCACTCAGAAATGCACACTGAGAAAATTAGATGGACGTATTTAACATAAGCACTGTGCAATGAATCTCACTGATCAGCTGTAGTGGTCAGTGCAATTTCAGCCTGCCTTCTGCAAAACAAAATCCTACCAACTAAATAACGATTGTATTTTCATCAAGGTCGAGCAATGGTCATCATTTTCTTTTGACACTGTTAATCCTGCTCTGATAGGAAACATCCATATGTGTATCCTTCTCTAGACGTGTCAGCAAGACAGTTTTCTGCAATACACTTCAACAGAAACAAACATTAGCTGCAGTCGGTGCCACTGGCTCCCACTTAAACACCCACTGTTCATTACACAGTACAGAATTCTGGCAAAGGGATTGCCTGCAAGGTGTTTAAACAACTTCTGCTCACAGTGTAAAGCACACAAGAAAGACATCCCACACCATAACCATGTAGAGCACTCTGTGTTGAACCTGCAGGCCCCAAGTTTAACTCTGCTTTGGCAAAGGTACAAAAATAATTCGGGTATTTCCATCCTCACAAGAAAAAAGCATAGAAAGTACTCAAGGATGCTGTGCATCTTTGTGATAACTACTTCCTGCTTCTTAAACCTCCTGGACTTGGAAAAAGCAGACTGTAATTTCCATTGATGTAGTGACACACCACCAGTAAGCAGAAAGACTCTGGTGACTCCTTGTGCTACCTAGAAGGAGAAAGACTGGACTTCATCTTTACAGAGTAAGATTAGGCTGAGTGGAACCCCAAACTGCAACCTCCAGAGAAATGTTTTGATGGATAATCAATTTTTTTATTTCAAAGTCTATGAGTTATTTTATTTCAAAGTCTGAGCTGGGGGAGAGGCCTGGATACAGCTGCTCTCCTGCCCATAGCAGTGTGTTCTCTGTATTCTGCATTCTTCCTTTGGTTCCTAGGTCTCCTATTCCCACTAAAATCAAATTATGCAATTCTCTTGGCAAGACTCAAAGAAACCCAGAAGCAAAATTTTAATTTTCTGAATCAGAATCAATACACTGCACAATCATTTTCAATGAATTATTTATCATAAAATAGAATATGCTTACAAACCCCTTGGTCCCCGTGTTTCCCTTCTCCTGATCTCCCACAAAAAACCTCCTACAATATGACGGATCTCTAGACAGGAGCAAACAATGCAATGTTTACTTGTACTATAAATGCCAACTAATCACACCTAACCCATCAGAACTCCATAAATCTGCAATTCTACCCAGTGAAGTGAAAGCAAACAGGTCACCATCACACTGCCTTTCAGCAGTGGCACTCCATCCCCAGATGACATGGAGTTACTAACGCTGGGAAACCATGAAAGGACAGAGTGCTTTGCTTTCAACCACCACAAACATGTCTGGAATGGTATGGGAGCTTTACAAGACAAGGGATTTTTCTTTAACTGTTAACTTCTTTAAAAGTATTTGTCATTGGAGAGTGTCTTATTGCTATATTGGTAAAGGTCCATTACCTACACAACATCAGGAAAAATGAAATGAATGCTAACTAACATGAAATCAACCAAAGAAAAAGGTAATGGGAAACCACACAAATGAGAGAAAGTGCTCACGGAGTCAGTATGACCAGATGGCTTATTTTCAGTGTTTGGGGCAAGTCAAAGTTCAATATTTTCCTTCCCAGAAGTTATTTTCATGCAAAAGCTTTTCTAGCTCTAATTCAGAACTGAAATTTTGATTTATATCTCAAACCCATCTACCTGGCCAGGCTTCAGTAGTTCTCTCTAATGACACACCAACAATTTGTCGGATGGCTGTCCACAATAGTGAAACCATTTAGGATACATGCTAATTGCTTCATTTATATGTTCCTATGTACAAGCGAGCACAGCTATACCAAAGGAATGTCTCTATATTTTAGTTCTCTTTTTTTCATTGTTCCCCATAAACATTAAAAACCATGAACAAGCTTGTAAGAATGGTTTCAGGCATGAGGAACAGGTGGTGCTAATGTCAGTTAAGTATTCCTGCAGGGGGAAGACTGGAAGCTTGCTGTAAATTATGGGGGCATTTCTGCAACAGAAAAATTGGCTTTTCATTGATGAAGCTGGAAGCACTCTTTGATAACAAACCCACTGGGAGATTCAAATCATATCACATCGCTAAGTTTTTCTTTCTCCATTTGTCTTGAAAAAACATTACTGCAAGTGTAAGTGCTTGCATGTAGCACTAAGAAGAGGATGGTTTAGAAAGACCACATACATTTCGGCTTCATTACAGCTGAAGCATCCCACAGGCTGACATCCAGGGCAAATTCCCCATATACTTACACTGAGGCAACCTCACTTGCATACATCCCACTGAACATAGGAAACTAAGAAATGAATTTTTCAATTTGATAAAATAAAAAAACCTCCTACGTGATCGTTTGGATAATGACATCATCACAGGCACCAAAAGTCAGAAACCTATGCTTTATATGTCTGTAGGATTGGTGCCGTGAAGAAAAGAGGAATGACTGTGTGAATCCTTGCAGAATCAGGCATATAAATTTCTAAATCATACCATCAAAGCCCTTTACTAATCTTCAGTATTAGTTCCCAGTGCTATAGCACTTGGAGAATATCTTCCCTGTAGGTGATTGTCTTCACAGAGAGATATGAGCTGGACAGAATGTCACCTGAAACTTTGGTTTCCTGCTGATGAATTACTCTGGGACAGTGCCATCCATATGCTCAAGTAATATTTTGAGAGGAAAATGAAAATCACAAGAAAACTGTCACTGACCTTTGTGCCCGGTCTGTTATTGTTATTTCTTCCTCCAGATCTAGGAGTAGCGCTGCCTGAGCCATCACCTTCTTGCTGCAGGGCAAGGATTTGAGGTGCAGAATGAGCAGAGCAAGGCAAAACTTGCTTCCCATCTCCTCCAGCTCTTGAGTTCCCAGCTGCAAGCCCTGGTGGAAAAAGTAGGAAGTTTCATTGCTGAGTGTACGAACTGCAGGTGTTGGGAGATTGTTTTTCAGAAGGACAGTTCTTAGATTTCTTCCTCCCAACTGAACGAGGTGTTTGTTTGCTTTCTATATATGCAGAAATTTCAGTCATTCATTAATTCAATGACAGCATTTGTTCTACAAGATCTGTTTAAAATAGTTTCTATTTTACAACTGTGGAAACAGGCAAGTAGCATAAAAGTTGTCATTGTAAAAATTAGACTCATACCTAAGGAGGATCTGACTAAATAAAAATCATTATGTCCTATTTTTTCTTTCTCTCTGCAGAAGTGTCATCTCCCTAAGCAATGGGAAACAAATAGGTTTTATAACTGAAAATACTGGGCAGTGGCAGAGATTAAAGCAAAACAGTGAGGAGGGGAAGGAGGGAAGATCTTTAACAAGTTATGAATTGTTTTTTAAGAAAATCAATTACAAAGTAATTGCAAAATAACAAACAGCTCTGAGGAATTTCTCGGTGTATTAAAAGCTTATGTCTCTTGTAAGGATGTGCAGGCAAAGAAATGCACAGACAGGATTGGGATTACCAACATCACCTTTCTAAGAGGACTCCTTCAAGCTGTGGATCCTCACTTGGAAGAGCCCTGACTTTGATAGTCTATGCATGCTTTTACACTAAGTAAAAAAAATAAAGATCTAACAAAAAAGTAACACATCAAGGGCCTACACAGGAGTAATCCGGCATAATTACTGGTAGTTTCTCACAAGCAGTGAGATGGCAAGAGACCAAAAAACCCCTAAAACACAAAAGAATCACTGAAAAAAAAAATAACCCTAAGAAACTGCAAAATCCCTCATCTTTGACATTTAGTGATCACATCATGTGTTACTCCTTAATGCTATCACACCAGGGGTTGAATCAATTGCTGAGCAATTGCTGCCTTTGTCAGTATCAGCCCTGTGTGCTTTTGAAGCACAAACCACCTCTGCAGCCAACCTTCTGACAAGAACTCCAGTCCCATTTCCAAGACTGTTTCCTTAGCAACTGCCACAAGTCCACGTTCACAGCCCTGGCAGCAGCCACAAGCACGGTGTGTGCTCCATCCAGTGTGGCCTGCACTTGACCCTCCACTCAGTGTTTGTTAGTGGACATCTTACCGGTAACAGAGCCAATATAATATATTCCAGTAACCCATAACAGGGGGCTGAGCTCTGATCTCATATTTCTTAGTAGTTTGTTTTGCTTTTTAAATTTTTATATGCTTCCTGTTTAACGTTGCATTTGTCACTTCCCTAGGATCTTCTGCAGAGCTGAGAGAAAATGGGAGCCAACAGCATGCAGGTGGATGGAAGAAAGATGCTTCTCAGGTGACCATCTACAGCTCCCTTGTAGTGCTTTTTTTTTTGGTTTATGTTTGTTAGAGGCCACAAAGTACCTCACAGGGTGAAAGCCTCCACAGGTCCAGAATGTACAAAGAAAATCTAGCATTACAGAAGCCCTATCTGATAACAAATACATTTTCCTGTAGTAATACATTGAAATTCTATTTCTTTTCTGAAACTCTATGAGTAAATATGAATAGGTAATTATAATGATGAACAGGAACAAATAATGCATTATTTTGAGCTCTGAGTGGTTGGACAGCAAGATAAACAGAGGACATGCCTAAAAGAGCACACAAACAATGTGAGAAAACTGAGCCTCACTACCAGGCAGGGCTGAAGGACTCTGGAGAACTGACTTCTGCTCTCAGAAAGTCTCTTAAATATCTTTAAAGCAGTCAGCAAATCTCCAACATCATTTCTTCTCCCATCCTAATCACCTATACTGCAAGCTTTGCTAAGTAAGAGCCAGGTACAACGAACTATAGTAATTATTAATAATGATAAGAAAACAGATGAAGAGGCTTCGAGGAACCAATGGTCATTAATACAAAACAGCTCTACATGGATTCCTAACTTTCATTATTTTACTTCAGAAGATATTTTAATGTGCCAGAGTTAGAGTCAGCAGGTAGAAGTGGTGACATTTCTGAGCAAAAAAATGTCACATCCACAGCAGAAGAGTTATTCTCTCAGGGCTAAAAAATACAAAGAACATCTTGGGGCTTTCCCTGGGGTGTATCTCAGGGTCCTGCTTCCAAGGCCTAGGCAGCACACTAAATACCTATCGATCCAGGAGATGCGAATAGTGACAGTGCTAAAACTCAGCCTGTGGGCTTACGATTCCCTGGGGTTTTATTCAGATATGAAGAGGCCTTAAGAAACTATGAACAGAGAAGTAATAATAATAAAACTATAATACACCTGAGAAGCCTCAGACAGTAACTGCTCATGCTCTGAAGTTAGCTGTTGTATGATGGATCCATATTGCTTTCAGAGCAGACAGCTTGGGAATAATAGCAGGAAACCTCAGCTAGAACATTACAAGTTAACACATTTAATTCACCTCGAACACAGGCAGACTTATTTTCTAACTCAGAAAATGCTCTCCCTCTTCTTCCTCAGCTCTCAGCAGAGGTTGGGGCTGAAGCTGCATAGGTGACTACCATTAAAGTGAAGACGTCGAAAGAACTGACGTATCAAACTAACGGCATTGATGATATCTGCCAGCAGTGCCACGAGCTGGTGCTCTGGTTAGGATCCAGCCCCTCTTGCATTGCTTGAAAGGGATTTCCCTCGTAGCTCTGCAATACACATGGCTGTAAAAAATGATCAGATCATGCTCACAACTTTGAGTTGTGAAAAAATTATACAAGAGATAAAGAAAGAGAAGTGGTGAACTTTGGTTTTGATTAAGAAGCAGGTGGGAAGCACACATCCACGGCAGTGAAGCTGCGTCGTTTCTACTCATAGTGACAATATATAATCCATTTGCCACTACTGTACAGGAGGAAGCTGTTCTACCTGTCAGCAGGTTCTCTGCTATGTCCTGAATCCTCAGTGACCCTATCCTTCTCTATCACAATGCCTTATTGCTCTGTCCTCCTTTGGAAGCATCTATATGAGAAGCGGAGCACAGTGCAGTCTTCCAAGCCAGCAAAACCTAAGCAAAGTCTGAATCAAAAAAGTGCACCAGAAAGCTGCAGACAAGATCATCAGTCTTAATTAGTTTAGGCTCAGAGATATGCTAACAAAGCTATTCTATTTTGATGATCAGCTCATATCTTTGCAGAGTTCTTGCTCTTCGCAACGTGAAAGTACCAGTCTGGATCAGCATCAGCTTGATACATCACGCTCTGCTGCACAATACAAATATGCCCACTGGTCCCATGGGCCCCCTCATGCAAGTCTTTTAAAGACATAATGTTAAAGGATAACAGGTTAATCATTTCCTGGCTATTATAAAGAATAATGGAGCTAAACATTTTTTGCCAATCTCTTCTCATTTTTTCATACCACAGCAGGCAGTACAGTAAGAGACATCACCCAGTAACTCTCTAATGTTTGGATGTGTCTTAATACATTATTTTGTGGGAAGAAATATTCCAGAGGAACTCAACATGGCTAATCAGATGAATTAAATGGACACAGTCTGTTAGCTCTTGGTCTAGTTAGACCAATACATTTCTTCTCTTTTCTGCCAAAACGGTTTTTATTATAACAGCTAGGGCAGTGAGGTGTTCACCTGCATCTCCTAATTGACACTGTGTCACAGTAATAGAAAACATGGAAGGAGGAAAAAAAATAAAGCTATTCTGTGATTTATAGTTTGGCCAAGATAATGGCAATAAAAACTCTCCTAATGAAAGTTGATGAAATCATACCGGAAAAACAGTTCATTCACATTCAGCACTGATGCATCAACTATATACTCACAACTAAATGCTTCCAATGTCTCTCAATTTGCCCAAAAGCACATCACAGGATAAAAGACAATGTAACAGGAAAACTTCATTATTCATTACTCATATACTTTAAACAATCCCACAGCCAAAGGCAGCAACAGCTTCATAACACAGATATTGTTGAAGAAGGTGGAAGGACTCCAAAAGTTAAATGAGAAATTTCTCTCTCCAGCAGGGTAGCTAGAGCTGCAGTTAAACTGGAGTTGAAAGATATTAATAAACACAAGTAGACAACAGATTTCAGAGCCATCATTTTTCTCTTGCATTTAGAGAAAAGGGATCTTTGGCATGCAGTATGGTCACTTTTGGGCACTGTTCAATCCTTGAGGCAATATTTTTTCCCTGCAAACTTACTTCCAGTCAACACATACACACACACATGCAGAGTATTCTCTGCATCTCAATAGCTTCACACATGCACAATGGTTATGCCCTAAGGCTGAATATAAATAAATTGACAGTCTGGTTTCCCACTAATTCCATCAGTGAGCTCTCCATCGGAATACTAATGGAAACTGTTTTGAGGCTGTACAGGACAAACCACACAGCTGAAAGAAACATTTGGTGCCTGGTGCCTGCAGCTAAAATTTTAGCCCGGGCCAGCCCCAAAAGACAGTGTTCTTTAAACCCCTGTGAAAGAAAACATGCTGACACACATTGGGGAACCAGTTATTGAGATGAGGACAGTGGGGAACGAGCCAGCTTTTCTCATGCCTCAAAGATCCCTAAGCAGTAGGTATGGCAAGCAGAACAGACAAAGTTTAGGGGATGGAAATTTGGGCCAAAAGATTTCAAAGGGATTAGGCAAGCAGAAAAGGCTGAAGAGAAAGAAAAAAATCGGGTAGCAGGAATTTCTAGAAAGATGAGAGGAGTTGGAGTTAAAGACAGAAGATAAAAGGACTGGAGAGATAAAAGGATGAGAAAGAGGGAGGGGTGGTTGAGGTCAGTGGATGCTGATATGGAGGAATGATAACAAGAGGAAAACTAAGGGAACCCTCAATCCCCATCTCACTGTTGGAAAGGTGTGCCTCACCGTGAACGTCAGTCCCCACTATGCTTAGTACTTTGGCCACTCGGTGAGGAAACAAGGCACCTTCCAGCTTGCCTTCAACCCACTCTGAAAATCTGCTGAATTTGGCTGGTGTTCTGATTCAG